TATTTTTCTATCTCAATTTCTTTCCAGGAACACCACATGGCCAAAATTTCCGGAGTGGGCCGCGTGGGAAGCGTTCTTCGAAGCACTCACGAGACAACGGTGCTCGTCTGCGCACAGATATCTAATGAAGCCCGTGTCCGCGGTGCACATGGAATCTATCAGAGCTTCGTAAACGGAAACTTATGACGGTATCTTTCACAATGAGGTGATGCTTAGATACATTAAATTATAAATTACAAGCCAAAGAAAAAGCTCTCTGTTCCTGATGGCTCTCTGTTGCTTCGCATCGGCCGACCCCTCGCACGGTCTCACCACGTCAGCATGGCGGCGTAAGCCAGCCGGTGCATCCCACTTCACAGCTGCGGGCCATTGCTTTTGTTGGACCATGCACATTGAATCCCATGAAGTGCCAGAAAGAGGATGTTTCCCGTTAACATGACTAACGCTCACTAACGCGAAAGAAAGCGAAACTTGAGGATAAATAGTGGTTCATGTAGGCACTGACATCGAAAATAGGCATTTGTAGACACTAAGGCTCAATAAACTTAGAATTTATGCACAAAATGGGCATTTAGGTCGGAACGCGAAAAAATAATACGCTTTTATGACAACATACAACGCTATAAAGTCCCACTTAAGGCAAAATCGTTCACATATGTCTAAGTTGGGCGGTAACGAACAGAATAGAAACTTGCCTGAAATCCGGTTTCTACATACACATTGCACGAGTTAAATGGTAAAGATATAGTAGTCCAGTTTACCCAGTAATCGTCGATTATAGGCTCAGTATCAGAGTTTAATCACTCACGAATTGTGTATACACACTGTGTATATTTATACAACAAATGTTCCTAAGTTGTAGGTCTACGTCGCTACCATTCGTCCTTGATTAGTTATTGCGAATACTGCAGGCCAGTTTGTGGCCCAAGCAAGAGGGGCAATCGGCAATACACATAACACTGTTACACATACATACAAAGAATAAAAATAATAACAATAAAAAGGAAGTACAATGCAGATTGGTCAAGGCATAGCACACCATACAATGCATATACTTAGCGACAGATGCTTTCCTGGAGCGCTTGGGAAAAATTTTTGGCTTGTATCACTGCTTCCGGGAGCGCATTCCGGGAGCGCAAGAAGCTGTGCTTAAACTGATTAGTTTTGGCGAAGATAGGCAGAAAGAAATGAGCATGCATGTGACGGGTCCTTCTTGTGCTTAGTGGTTTAATCATAGTTGACGGAGTTATTTTCACCTTAGAAGTAGCAATATTGTTGAGGAAGAGTAAACGGGCCAAGCGTCTACGAACTGCTAGGGTTTGAATGCCATTATCAGTCATGAGCTTCGACGGAGAATCGTAACGCCCATATTTGTTAAAAATAAAACGCATCGCTTTTCTCTGAACGAGCTCAAGCATGTAATATCTTTTTTCAAGTGCGGATCCCATATCACGGAAGCATATTCAAGTTTAGCTCTAACAAAAGTTTCATAGGCTAAAAGCTTAACGTGACTTGGAGAATGTCTTAATTTTCGTCTCAAAAAACACAACTTAGTAAATGCACCAGAACAAATACGTTTTACGTGGGTTGACCAAGATAAAATAGAGTTCAAAGTGAGGCCCAAGTACTTGTACTCCCCAACATCTGCAATACAAGTGTTCTGCAAGAAGTACTGGGAGTTGAAGAAATGTTTTTTGTGCGTTATTCGTAGAATTGCACATTTTCCGGCATTCAACATCATTCCCCACTGCTCAAACCAACTCTCTATTGCAACCAGGGATTCCTGGAAAACTTCACAGTCATCAGGTGAGCGAATTTCTCTAAAAACAACACAATCATCGGCAAACAGCCTGATGGAGACAGTTTCGGGAACTACGTGGGCTAAATCATTTATATAAAGAAGAAACAACAGTGGTCCCAGCACGCTGCCTTGGGGTAGCCCAGAGGTAACAGCAAGAAAATTAGAGAAACAACCATTATTATCAACATACTCTTTTCTGTTATTTAAATAAGCTCTTATCCAGTTCAAAAGGCAATCAGGAAAGCCAATGTGTTCAAGTTTATACAAAAGCTTATCGCGTGGCACTTGGCAAAACCCTTGCTAAAGTCGAAGAAAACCACATCAACTTGTCCAGACTCGTCCAATACCGCAGAGAAGTGATGAACAGTAGTGACCGATTGAGTAACAGTGGACATATTTTTTCTAAAACCGTGTTGTTAGGGCGACAAAATGTTCCTTTCAGCCAGAAATTCACGAATGAACCCTACAATAACATGCTCCAACATTTTACAACAGCTACTTGTGATGGAAATGGGTCTGTAGTTAGAAATTGAAAGTTTCTCTCCCGTTATAAACAGTGGTTTAAAACAGGAGAGAAACTAATTATAACGGCTTTATGGTCGGTGAAGTGGTGCATCGACGAATTAGTAGGCAGTTGGCAAAGGTGGAACTATAGGCAGTCACGTACAAACGAGGTATGAACACACTAAGACAATTTGTGGTTCTTTAACGCGCAATTAGTATGCGTTGGCAAAGGAGGAACTATAGGCGGTCACGTACACACAAACAAGAGATGGGCAGACCCACGCCTTTAGGAGCTTCGCCCCTAAATATTTCTCGAATCCGTCATCATTTCTTGAATCCTATCAACGTTAGCGGTCGGGATACAGATGTACCACCGTGCAAGCGTCAATGTGAATGCGTCCACGTTAAACGGTGCTATTCGCTACGAGATCGGGCTATAGGTGGCAGCACCGTTCCCGCAAAAGTGTGCATAGGTGGTCGGCGGCGCGTATACAAATACACGCAGCGGCGCTTCGTTGCGTGTGGTCTGAGCCGACGGTCGGCGGATAAAATGCGTTGACTACAGTTTACCGGTAATATACGCTCTGAATTGAATGCACGACGCCTATGTAACGTTAACATTACTCGCGAGTAAAGCGCATTCTGCCTTTCATGAGGATGCTCTCCCTGGGTGACTCTATTCTCGCTTTCGCACTAAACCTCGCCTTTGCTGTGTTGTTTGCATGTGGTTAGCTTCTGTTACGCCTGCTACACACTGCTGTATAGCGTGACTGAGCTACTCATCTTTGTCATCTGCATACTACAAAACAGAGATATAAAGATCGTAGAAATCCATCTGTGTGATTAGTTCAGTACCAACGTTCGCACCTTATACGCATATGGTTTTTTTTTCTTTCATTCTGTTCACCATGAAATGTGGGACAGTCGCCAAGTCTTGGCAGTAAATCTCAGTGGCTGATGGCGCTTTGCGCAACACTGCGTTTACCACGTGTACGCGCATGTTCTTGCACCAGTAAAAATGTAAAAATCTCATATAAGCTTTCAGTGATGAATTACGTGCATGACAGTTCTACAACAAAGGCCTGGTTAATGAGGCAAGCATGTTTTGTTTTTTTCAGACGAAAGTGAACACTTTATTGCGTCGGTCACTAACAATGCCACACAAACGTTGAAGACAATGTAAAAAAAAAAAGATGAAATTTTCAGTGAAACCATACGACATTATATATAAGGCATGCCGTCTGAATTATTTTCAACGTCTGGGCTCCTTATGCGTTCTTGGAGTCTGAGCACACGGTAGCGCACGGTAACTCCGTTTTAACTACAGTTTAAGTACCGATGTATCACAGTTTATGTGATAGAAATTTTTTTATGTAGGGAGACCACGCCGAGATACTTGAAGACAACTAGACACCTCGCATGACCGATAAACTACAGTGCCGTAGTTGCACACCTACAAACAGCGCGTAAGTTCATGACCTGGAGCTTTTTTGTGTTTTTTTTAACAACCGAGTCTCCATAAAACGCTGCCATTCACACACCATTTAATAGCCCCTGTGTTTGGGAGGATGCCAAAAGCATTTTGCGATGTGCTTGAAACAGAAAGCGGCACCCACTTTGAAATTATTCTGGTGAATGGAAGGTACGACGACAATAAACAGCACTCTGGAAAGTTGCACTCGCCGATCTTATTGCAATGCATTAGCAGCCGAGCAAGACCAAATGCTTGCGTAAGTCGTATCAGGCATACGTAGAAACAGTTACATTCGCGCTGACATGGTCGTACAAACCACACTTTGAGAACGTGCATGACGTACGCGCACAGAGAAACACGACTTGGCTAGCAGGCGACGCACGGAGCAATCCACACTTCACCTCTTCATCGAGTTGCCGCCAGGTGGCGACTCTGCTCGATCTGGCGGCAAACACTAATGCACAGTGTGCAAGCTCTTTTATCTCATCAGCAAACATCAAACTACTTCTATAACTGAATATACGAATAGCGCAACTTAAAAGTAGTTACAGTGTAACTACAGAAGCAATGAAATAGGGACAGAAAAGAGCGCTTCTACAAGCACACATTGCACTTTCCTGTTGTACCGATTCCTGCTATGGAGAGATGTCCTTTCTTTTTTTTTTTTCGTCATTCCTGAGGAGTGGTCCGTGACACCTCTCAGTGAGCACAAACTGCCTGTCCACTTTTTACGTGTTAAATAAAGGTGTGACTGGGGTGAGACAGACTGATAAATACCGAGCCGGCGAGATATTGCAAGTACCCGTATATAAAGCTACAACGCCGAGGATATGTCAAAGAAACATAAAACCTGCACTGAGCTATTTAAAACTTCCGCATAAGATGCAGTGAGCTGCTGACACTGGCCGGTTGACGACGGCTTCGCACGTGTGTGTCGCATCAAACTTGGGCCTGTTTTTATAGAAACTTGTGCGACATTGACCTACACGTTTCTTGAACTTGACGGATTGTGGCATTCGCTGGCGCAATCACCGTTGCTCTTCCATAAGCGTGGATGGCGTTGTGACACAAACACTCCTTAAGATTTTAATAGGGCGACACGGACCGTTAACTTCATGGCCTTGTCGAAGCGTCCTGCCCTTCCTCATGTCAAGGATGCAGCCGAGAGGTTATATATAAAGTCGCGCGGCTGTTCGTAGATACAAGGACGATAGACACGACAGTCAACCATGCTGTCGGTGGCCTCAGCGGGGCTTTTCGCGCTGTGCGTCACCGCAGCCGGTGTCACAGCAGGTCGGCATATCACCACCGAAACGCTCAACGGACATGTGAGGGGCCTCATAGAGAACGTGGGCGGTGTGAATGTGGCGACGTACCTGGGCATACCGTACGCAGAACCGCCCGTCGGTGAGCTACGCTTCCGCAAGCCGCTTCCGGCCAAACCAGTGGCATCCGACGACCTTGGACGCCCTGAACTTCGCAAGCCCTTGCGCCCAAGCCAACGGTTCGTTCCCACCGTCCCCATGGCTTGTAAAAAGGGACCAAGTTAGCGAGGACTGTCTCTACCTCAATGTATGGAGTCCGCTAGGTAGACCCAAGCCACTGGGCGTTCTTGTCTGGATACACGGAGGAGGTTATCGGACTGGAACCGCATCCCAAGTCCTCTACGATGGCAAGGCCTTGTCCGCGGTGGGTGACATCGTCGTGGTATCAATCAACTACAGGCTCGGCTCTCTGGGATTTCTCTACACCGGCCCAGGCTCGTCGAGCGGTAACTATGCCTTGTGGGACCAGCACCTCTGTCTCCTGTGGGTGCGCGACAATATCGCCCGGTTCGGGGGCGACCCTGGCCGAGTGACTGTGTACGGCGAAAGTGCGGGTTCCATCGGCATCGGCGCACAGCTCGTCTCGCCTCGCAACGCCGGTTTGATTCATCGTGCTATAATGGCAAGCGGAAGCAACTACTGGCTGGTACCGCCGCAGAATGCGGTGGGCCACGAGTACGCAGACCGCATCGCCAGACACGTGGGCTGCCTGGACGAGTCCAAACCCTCGTCGAAGACGCATCCCGAGCAGGTGATCGAGTGCCTCCGCTCGGCGCCCGTGCACAAGATCATCGACGCAGAAGACACGCAGTTTCACAAGGAGATAGTGACCTTCACGCCTTCGCACGGCGATGATTACCTTCCGCTACCGGAAGTGGACGCCATTTCCAGGGGCCTGTTCATTCCTCTCGAGAGCATCCTCGCGGGAGCAACGACGGAGGAAGGCGGCGTTTTCCTCTACTTCCGAGTGCCGTCTTTCATAAACTCCACGTCGGCGCCCAAGCTGACAAAACCAGAGGTGGTAGACCTTTTGACGAACCAATACTTTGGCTACTTGCCCGGAGAGACACGGTCGTTCTTGATTGACGAGTACATGCGCCGAGTTTCCGGCCTCTCGGACTACAGCGGGAACCTGAAACGCGTTAATGGGCATTCTGGGCGACTTCCTCGCCTTCTGTCCGACCAAGTTCTACGCGGAGGCGTTCGCCAAGACGAACCGTCTCGTGTACTTTTATTTGTACGATTATCGTTACGAGCGTGGCTTCTGGCCCTCCTGGATGGGTTCCACTCACTTTGCGGACCTTCAGTTCACGTTCGGAATGCCGTTCCGATTCCCCGAGCGTTACTCGAACGCTGACCGCGAGCACAGCAAAACCTGTATGCAACTCATCGGCTCGTACGTCAACACAGGGTATGCCTGAGCTTCCTTTTAATTGTACTTCATTATTTCTTTCATACTTTTCTTGCCTTAATTTTCAATTGTATACAATTTCATCGAACAATATAATCACTCAATAATGAAACCTATTCTCGATAATATTGATACGCTTTAGTTTGATAGGCACAGACAACTGTCCAGAACGTGTGATTAGATCCTAGGTGGAATCGAAAGGACCATGATTTATAGTCAGCAAACCTAAACAGCATTTTTTGCAGGTCTCAACAATATTTATATTGCCACGCGCGTTTCTTGTTTTCGCTTTTGTTTCATTCGGTGTTTGCCCACAAAGCCTGTCATGCAGGAATTCTCCGTGCAAACTGCGCCCCATTGTCCGAGAAGGTTCGCGATTATGGTAGATCGTTCTGCTAAGATTGGGCGCCAGAAGCGAACACTCGAGATTATTGCAGAGCCTGCGCGACGACCAGTGATAAGGCTGGAACATTACGGATTACCTTTTCATTTCGCAGAAGAAAACAGGTACCATAAATATTGGTTGTCGCTTCATTTAAACTAAATACACTGTTCGTTCACATCATTTTGTTTTTGTTTTTTTTGAACCGAGGGTGTTATTGCAGCGCAAGACAAAAGCTTCGTGAACCACGCACAGACATATCATCCTGTGCTACGAAAAATACTCTCGGCGCGTGTGCTCTGTTCCTTTCTTTCCCCATTAAATTATGGTCCCCCCCCCCCCCCCTACCTGCGTACGGGATCGAATTCGCAACGGTTTTTGCTCGAATCTCATCACGCCCATGCATTGGCTAGCAGGCTTCTCTGATGACATTCCCAGCATACCGATTGGCTAAAATTTGTCTTAATAATGATTCTAGCGACAGACGTGTTCCTGAACACGAGTCCTGGGTATACTTTTGTTATATATACGGTTAACGCCCGGTTTCTTGTGCGCAGGAATCCGACGCTGCCAGGAAGCGGCGGGTGGCCCGCATTTACCAAGGAGCAGCCGCTGCACGTCTTCATGCGCGCCTCCAACGCGAGCATCGGCTCAGACTTCCACGGCGAAGGATGCAATACGTACCGCAAGGTCTACAATATGCTGGGTCTCCCAATGCCCTGAGAGGTGCATTTTCACCCTTTGTAACGCGCATGTGTTGCTGTGGCAACGACTTTAATAATAATAATAATAATAATAATAATAATAATAATAATAATAATAATAATAATAATAATAATAATAATAATATAATAATAATAATAATAATAATAATAATAATAATAAAATTGAGCGTCTTGAGTTTCCTTGGTGGGGATCACCAATGAATTAGTAACAATTACCGACGAGATGTTTCCCATTGGAGCTTTCACTAAAAGTGACGCTAAATGTATAAAGTCCTTCCTCTGAATGTTTGGAAGTTAAACGCTATAGATTTGCTATTTTGTTTGTACCCGTGGCTTTGCTAAGGTCTCACGAAGGTGCTATTTTGTCGCTACATGCCCCAGACTTTTTTGCGTATACCTCTTTGTATTCCAGCTTATTACTGCTACAAACTACGTACGTCATAGCCGACGCACGTTTCGGCAACCAGCACTGGTTCTTTGCAGGTACGTGTCTTTGTGAGGTGCTGAATTGTTGACTGCTGTTGTTGTGCCAATGGCCACTTTATCGTACGAAAACCGTTTTTTTTTTTTTATTTCCATTTAACAGCTTCACTGTCAAAGGGCGGCGATTAGCTAGAGCAACAACTGATATAGGTCGAGTCTGGTGACGAAAGTGCATGTACACGTGCGTCTATAGATCTTCGATCGTATACTAGCGGTTTTACATCGGGAGGTGTACAGTTTAGCCGAAAGTGGTTCTCAAATCCACACATTGTGTGTTTTCTGTTTCAGATGACGGTGAGAAGGGACGGGCAAGTCGAGCCGCGCCGCAGTCATAGAAGCATAAGGTTCCCTGCACGCATGCGCAAAAGGCCAGACGAAGCTGCAGCCGGCCATGTCCACACGAAGACAAGCAAGGATATTCATTTTTGTCCCTTATATCTCAAAGCAAAGATTATGCCCGTCCTGCATTCCCTTCTTAAATAGTTGTCTCTAAAGATGCGTTTAGAAAGTGTGTATTTGTTAGAAACTACGAGATCGCCCAAGCTCACGCACTGTTGACCTATCTCATTCTAAAGTGTTGGCACTGTTACTAGCTATAACTATTCTCATGCACAATCGGTAGTGAAAGATGTACAACAAGCTGTATAAGTTTTTACAGCAGAACTGTTATGATCGGAAATTGGCCGTGCGAAATAGATAGGAAATCATAATTATGAGCCGGCACGCGCCCTCTTAGTCCTCTTCTTCTCTCTCTGCTCCCTCGTCTGCTTTGCCCCCAGAACACGAGCGCCGACTTTGTCCGGCGTGAGATGCAATACCTCTGGCGGGTGTGAGAACGAGTACAGAGAGAAGAAACGAAGGAGAGAAATATATAGATATAAAGAAAGAGACAAATTATTGACGAAAGTTCCCTGGCGAGGCGAGATTTGAAGCTGGTCACCCCCATGATCCGAAGGCGAGGGCCTCAACCTCTCGGCTATCCGGGCACGCTATAAGAGCACAGCGTGAGCATTGTATAGTACAGTGTGGCAAAGAAGACACGTATTGAACAAATGGCGAATAGGAGGGAAAAGAGGAGGACAGAACTGGCACATAGAGATAAAGAGAGATAGAAAGAAAAATAAAGGAACAACGAAACAGAAAAAAACGCAAGTGAATTAAGGAACACATAGAGACAGACAGCAAGAATGAAAGGCTTATAAAGAAAAAACAGAGAGAAATAAAGAAAGAACAGACAGAAAAATTGAAAAAAGACAACAATAAATAGAAAGAAAGAGATAAAAATAGACAGACACAAAAAAAAAGATTTAAAAAAAGTTACAGTATATCCACGGAGTAAATGATGATGAGTAAAGCGAGGCTTCTGAGGGTTTTATCGGTAAACTGTGAAAGAAAGAAAGAAAGAAAGAAAGAAAGAAAGAAAGAAAGAAAGAAAGAAAGAAAGAAAGAAAGAAAGAAAGAAAGAAAGAAAGAAAGAAAGAAAGAAATAGAAGAGGAATCACCACAGGATTGCGTCGCGCTGTAGAATACGGATGCTGTAACTAGCGACCGCTCGCGCATATATGTGCTAACTGTAGCATGTGCACACGTGGTAATACTATACTTCCAGGGAGCAGCAGTCCGTAGTCCAGGGCCTAGCCGGAATAGGGGGCGGCGGCCCACGAGCGAGCGCAGCGAAAGGTCGCTGTGAGTGAGCGTTTGTTTTCTTTCCCTCTTTTTCTTTCCTCCCAGAGGAGAGGAGGAGGGTAGGGAGGAGAGCGCTCATGTATAGTAATGAGAACGTGAATAAACATTGCCACACGCACGCGCGAGCCGGACGAAAATCCGTTCCGCGCGCTTGCGCCTCTGGAAGCTGCAGCGTTCTGAAAAACAGCTGCGCAACGCGTGACCGTATAGTAAGTAGTATACGCGAGAGCCGAGCGTGGTGCGCCCGAGTTTTCCAAGGGAGCGGCGAAAGTGAAGTGCGCGCTGGGAAGAGGAAGGCTCCGTACGGCATCAGCCCGTTGTCCGAAGCGTCTATTACGAGCTCGGTGTATATGCGTATACGTACACACTTAGAATTGCGAGCTACGCTGGGGCTAACATTTATCAAAGAAGATCGTCTGGGCATATGTCGTCGAAACTTGCGGAGCTCGCTCAGACTCACTGATGAAGTATATTTTGCGTTCAGGGCTCACTCGGACTCACCAAATTTTTCCTTAGCCGGACTCACTCGGACTCATAATCACGGAAATTTTTCTTCAACTGTACTCACCAAAACATTACTCTCCCGGACTTACTCAAACTGAGACTCACGGCTCGATCCGAGTGTTAGCGAATTTGAGTGAGTCGACTCATGAGTTTGTTAGTCTAGAATATGCTTTTCCGACCATGGTGTCAAATCTCCTTAACACCAATATCTCACATAGTCGTGCTCTTCCAGGCTCCTTTTGATAAAGTACATGCGGACACTGGTTATGGGTGCTTGCAAACCAGTGAGGTCATCTTTCTTGACAGAGATGACAACGTAAGATGTATTTACCAGGAACTTCCTCGTAAGCGATCGCAGGGTGAAGGTCAAGGCACGCCCCCCTGTGGTAATTCGCGCCTGTTATCAATAAATATTGAAAGGTGAAGGAACGACACTGCTTTAGAATGCGTACCGAGAGTAGACGTGGGTATAAACGTGAATCCAGCCAAAGCTCATAGTATTGCTGAAGATAAGTGGGTAGGACGTGGGTCGTGCTTATGGAGAAACTTAGATTATCTAAATCATTATTGTATATCTCATATACACTTTTTATGGAGATTTGAAGGCATGGGAAGGCAGGCTTAATTTACAGTCGGCTGTGACAAAATCATGAAATCAGTATTCAGCCAATGATTACAAAGAAAAGGAAACAAAATCAATAACTAAAAGCATCGTATGCACGCTTGTAATCGCAAGACAAGGTGATTTTGAGATTGGTTCATCAACAAATAAACGTAATTTAATGGAGAAAAACAGTGATATCCGTCATAAATAGTTGATTAGGGTTGTGTTCACTAAAAATAATGCAAAGTACTTCTGACACATCGACTCTACTATACAGGACATCCAATCATGATCCAAGTACTAATTTATTTTTTCTTTGTATCACCAGTCTACATCTTTTTTTTTTTTTTTTGATGATTGCTTTGTTATCACGCTATAGGCTCAATATATGTCATGGTAGTCTGCGGGAGGGTTGCTATCGAGACAGGAGAAGCAATCTGATGCTAACGTTTTCATGCTTCAAGCAGCTAAGCGCCGACATTACCCAAAAGTGTAATGTTATCATCAAGTTGCGAAGGCAAAAAAAAACAACAACAAAAGAAAACGCCTGTGTTAGTCGTTTCTTTGTGTGTACCCTTGTGTGGAGCCCAATTTACAATTAAGAGGAAAAGAATTTTGGTCTCGCC